TACATATTTTGACTTTTTTTAAAAAATCATACAGGTTGTTCCAAAAAATTGGGTAGGTAATTTCTTAACCACGATTCTGCTTAAGCTGCTTGACTTAAAAAGCTTATTTTTGGTAAACGGATTTTTCGAAAGTCAAATTCCAAAGAGATGAAACTACCTCTCAAATATTACCAAGTTATATAATAATATCGCCATATTGTTTTTTATCATGCTGACATAAATGTGAAAAAAAATTTCCCAGTTTGTATGTTAATGGAAATTCTTGCTTTGCTTAATCATCACCATTACAAATAATTAATTCGACGCGAACGAAGTCGCGGGTACACACTATAGTCTGTCCAACGAGAAGATCCTTGACAGTGATAGATGTGTCTGTCATTTTAATTTCTAAGTAGTTTATTTTATTTTACAAAGAAATAAGTTGGTACAACTGGAACGCATAGCAGGAAATATTTAAAATTTGATTGACAAGATGACAAGTGATTACTTCAAAATTGTATAAAACTGAAAAAATGTAATCGAGTTATTTTATTTAATAAAAACGGTATGTGTTAATACAAAACAAACAAGAACAAGGCACTACATACCAAAAAAATATAAAAAATAACTATTATTTACTTTCAAGCTTTATGAAACTACCCGCATTTATGATTATATTTATCAATATAACTTATGTACAAATACAAATTTGTAATATTCCACAGGTATAAATAAAACAACATAGGTAAATACAACAACTATTTTATTAATAATAACACCTACCAAATTTTATACCTTAAAGGTGGATTAATTACCTTTAATCTTAATTTTTTTAAACCAGTACCTTTTGACATTATTTTTCTGCACCAGTACTAAAATCCATTATTTACCTATCGTGTGATGTCGATATTTTACAGCTACTCCAGTTTTTAGTATGTGTTTAGTTTGATCCTTATATACGAAATGCACTTATCTACGACGAAATGGTATACAAACTTTATCGATGGCAACTTCATTGGTGTATAAGACTTTCTGCCTGGGCAGCGTGTATTAACCATAAACTGTGCTCTGGGCCTACAGTTAATTTTCACTCGATTTTTCCTCCACTTGACTTCAAAAGACACAAAACACACGTAATAATACGAATCAAAATGCATCATCTTTCAAAATGCAGGGTATTTAACAAAAGTTGACACAAAATTATAACCAATAATTTGGCAAGACTTTGACAAGCGTCAAAAATGACAAAAATCTAAAGGCGAGTTCATACGCATCGGCGTCCGTTTGTCGTTCATCGTTCCGTCAAACCAATAAAATTGAAATACGATCTGTCATTTTTTAAATAAACCAATAAAACTGGTTAAAAACAACAAGACACGACGTATGACGGATTTATATTTAAACCCATCCATAGATAACTTAAAAATTATTAGAAACTTTTTTTAGTAAAATAAATAGATTGGTATGGGACGTCATCTGCTTTTCTTCTGTCATCGTCTGTCGAAATCTTACCAGAGAAAAAAAAACAGAGTATAGTATGTCTATATTTTTAAATAGGCGGTTCATCTCAAGGTGAATTTGCATATTTAAACTAGCTCCAGAAATATTATTCACTATTATACAAACCAAACCAAGCCTTCCCTTCGACTCTCCTCAACACTTCCAACCCCTAAAACCCACCCACCACCCCCTACTCGCCTCACGTTCGCCCCGATCTACCCCTAGTCGACCCCTCCCACCTCCCCATTTTTAAAAGCGCCACCCTATCTCGCGCCAAACTCGCCCTTATGCGCGCATTCTTACGTGGGGCCGTTTCAAAAAGTTAAGACGCCGCTCGCACTTATATCTCATTGGTTAGGCGGGGTTGCCGTGACGACGGCGGCGATAGGCGGCGCCTTATAGCAGGCAACCCGGGCTACATCAATACTCTTAAGAAAGCCGGGCTATGTTGGCGGAGGGTGAAATAAAACGAGGGGGTGAAAGGGGGTTTGGATGGAAGAGGTAGGTGAATAGTAATGAGACTGGAGAGAGGGATGGTGAAAAATACGTATGCTCGGGATATAACGGCGTTTAAATATTGATTTAAGTTAAGATAGAGGTTCAAGATGGATCTAAGGAAACGGCAGAGCGAGCCTGTATATTCCACAATGCTGTAATATCTGGCTTTTAGCGTATAACAATTATTCTTATCTTCAGAAGGGAGTATAATAAAGAAAGACTCTTTTTAGGCCGGGGGGTGTTAACTCAAATTTTGCGGGGGTTCATAATTTGTCGCTACGCCACTGTCAGCATGAGAAAGAAACAATATAACGATATTATTATACAGGGTCCGGCAATAGTGTGTCGGGCATCTGTAGCTCCTAGAATAAAAAACTTGAGAATTTTGTTTTAGTGCAAACCTAAAGTATGTACCAGGATGTATTTCAGGAAAATATTTTAACTTCTATAGGGTGGCTCAAAAAAGTGTGAGCGGACCTGGATGATTTTTTTTAAATGGAACACCCTGTATATTATTGCATTTTTGGCTTCTTTTCAGATCACTTTACATAACCCTAAGATATGAATAAATATATTTCCATAGTTTCAGAGATATTAAAAAATAAATTAAAAATATATATTTTTCAGCCCTTCTTAAAAAGATTATTAAAAATACAAGAACTGTTCTGAAATCAAAACGATATTAGGTATTTACTTTAGATGGTCTGTTCTTACTTTGCTATAAATATGGTAATCGTAATTCATACAGGATGTTCAATATTCTACGCCAAACTTTCTAAAATATAAAATATTTTTTCTTTGTTTTTTTAAATGGAACACCCTGTATATTATTTTTTTATTAGATGGAGAGTTTAAAAATGAACATTTATTGTATTTAGAGTATTTCAAAATTTTTAACGGTTTCGCAGATACACACAGTATTATTTCATATGGCGCTTTCAATGGTAAAATACGAGAGAAAAATTACTGGGTGGCTTTGATAAAAATTTACTGTGAAAAATGCCATATGAAATATAAAACCGCAAATATCTGCGAAACCGTTACAAATTTTGAAATACTCTAAATATAAAAAATGTTCATTTTTTAATTCTTCGTCTACTGAAAAAATAATATACATGGTGTTCCATTTAAAAAAAATTAAGAAAAATTATTTTATATTTTAGAAAGTTTGGCTTAGAATTTTGAGCATCCTGTATAATTTACGATTTTCATATTTATAGCAAAGTAAGTACAGACTATCTAAAGTAAATAACTAATATAGTTTCATTTTCAGAACAGTTTTTGTATCTTTAATAATTTTTTTAAGAAGGGCTGTGAAAAAATATATATTTTTGATTTATTTTTTAATATCTCTGAAACTATCAAAATGTATTTTTTCATTTGTTATGTAAAGTGATCGGAAAGAAAGCCAAAAATGTAATAATATACAGGGTGTTCCATTTAAAAACAATCATTCAGGTCCACTCACACTTTTTTGAGCCACTGTATAGAAATTAAAATATTTTCCTGAAATACATCCTGGTACATACTTCAGGTATGCACTTAAACAAAATTCTCAAGTTGTTTATTCTAAGAGCTACAGATGCCCGACGCCACTATTGCCGGACCCTGTATAACTTGGTAATATTTGAGGGGTAGTTTCATCTTGTTGAAATTGGACTTTCGAAAAATCCGTTTGCCAAAAATAAGCTTTTTACGTCAAGCAGTTTAAGCAGAATCGTGGTTAATCAATTAACCAACTTTTTGGAATACCCTGTATGATTTTAAAATATGTAAAAAACAAAATAAAGTATGCGTGTCCTAGCGTTTTCCCGAAAGACTAACCGTTTTTTAAATAACAGATATTGTAATATTTGAGGGGCGTTTTCACACTCTTGGAATTTGAGATTCGAGAAGCCCCTCCTTATCGAACCTCTACACCCCATAGTCAATCCGTTTACCAACAATCAGCTTTAAACGTCAAGCAGTTTAAGCAGAATCGTGATTACTCGCAATGGTCATATTTTATGAAACACCCTGTATAAATTTTTAAAAATTCTTAAAATATGTAAACCATCAAAATAAAATATACGTGTTTAAGGTTTTTCCGAAAACTGAGGACTCCACATATGTATATTTAATTTCAAAAACTCAAAAACCATTTCGAAACCATATACTAATTCTACGTTCGGTTAAATCTTCCGTAAACTCCATGGACCCATCACACACAAAACGAGAAGCGGAAACTGTCCGAAAACAAGTCTGAAACAGTATAAAACTGGTCGGAACTTTCCCAAAAATACTGCCGGAGAATATCCAGCAAAGTAATAATTCATGGAGTAGTAATTTAAAACAAACTTTGCCAATTTCCACAGAGAACTAAAATTCCTGCTGCCCCGGACTCGCAAAACTAAAACTACCAGCATAAATTTAATCAAAAACAGAACATATTAGAAATTCAATCTCGGAGAAAGAGCCCTAAAGGATAACGGAACGCAGAAGCCTGCCAAGTTGAAGGCTTGTACCAAAAAAGATTACGTGCGTATCGTGTACATATGAGTTATGAGCTCTCTTAATCCAAATTTAATTATTTCTTTAAAATCATTCACTACTAAGGATGTATTCGTGCACAGACTCATTGAACAAGTCATATTTCTTTAAAAATTAAACTGCTGTTTGTTGTTTTATAAACATACGTATCTAAAAAGTATTCATAGTACATTCCTGTGGGATATTTTTATCCAGCTCATATATCAGAGGATACATTAAAATACGCAACCAACCGTCATTGAACCGTCCAATCAGATCAAAGGAGTAATCGTGATAATGTTCGGCGCCTGGAGAAAATTCACAATTGACAAGAGAATTAATGGTTTAATATTTTTGACTTTTTTGTTCGTTTAATTTAATAATTACTAAAACCAGTAGTTCGAAAGATATATTTAAAAATAAAAGATAAAAATCTAAAAAATTAATTATCTATTAACGTGGATTTGGACGACAATGGGTAAGAACACTAAATTTATTTCTATATTCGATATAAACTTGTTTATTAGGTTTTTAGTTTGTGATGTTTCATGTGATGATCATTTTCATGTTCATCGTCCTTGAATTGACATGAGGATATCTATGGAAAAGTAACTAATCTGAAAGTAAGCCAACATATCGTTTGTCATTTGTGTGCTAAAGAAAAGATTTTCTTTTCGCATCATGAGGAAGTATTACATCAATTAAAAAATGTTAGGAAGTTGATTACTTGTCATGGAAAAGTATACCAATGGAAATTATTTGTTAAAGAAGTATAATTCTAACGGTAAATTTTATTATAATTAGTAAGCTGTCTATTTTTTATACGTAGATGTTTCAGGTTTTAAGAATAAATTGGTTGAACCCAAAATCTGGAGGAAGTACCTATATCCATACACAGAATATGCCCATTAAAAATACTAGTCCAAATTTGCTTTAATGGTAGACAATTATTCAATACAAATTAACTTTTTAAGTGACTGAAATATTAAATAGTTTAGAATATGGTATAACAATGTAAAAAAAATATTATTTTCAGGAACGATTAGGGCCCGATATATTTGAAACTCATGTTGGACATAGTATTGAGTTGGGTAGAATATTATTCTACGTTAAGTGAGGGTATCAGATACCTATTATTGTACTGTATTTTAATATATACATTAGAATTGTTGGTTTTTTCATATTTGTTTTATTTATTATTTTACTTACAAGTTATATAAAAGTTAACACTAAAATCTACTTTTGACTTATATAAGTTAGTCTGTGGTTTAATGCGTGATTACATCCACATGATTTCAAGTTTTTAAAATATAAATATTATAACTGGCTTTAAAAACTCCATTAAACTGTTAAAAGTGTAATTTATTTCAAAATAAATATACATATATAGGTATATATTAATATCGAAAAACATTTTTATTTCCTTAACACCATTTTAATCATCACATACATATGTATAAACATTTATTTACGTTATTTCAAATGAAGACCACAGGAAAAACCAGCTTTGTTCATTTTAACTGGAGCCGAGAAAATGCAATTACAGAGTGAACTACTCTGGTTTTTTCTCCTGTAGGGCAAAATAACTAAGCTGTAATATCTCTGGGACTAAGCATATTATTATTGCTTTCTTTGATGGTGCCTCGAATAATGCTAACACTTGCCTATTAAATTAGTGTAGTCTTCAAATGATCTAAAAATTCAGCAGGAATGATCCATTATGCAGCAAACACACTGATGTTGAATCATTGGAAGCTTTTTTGTGGGCATTTCACAAATAAAATAAAATGTCTGATCAAAAACTGAAAATGCAAAACAGATAGTAAGCTTTATAAATACATACATATATATATAAATAACCATACCTACATCTATTTATGTCGTACAATCCAACCGATATTTTAATATCCTAGCCCAAGTAAATAATCAAAAATGCACTTTTTATATCAAAAGCAGTAATGTTATCAAGGGTTCCAATTAATATCCCGGATTTAAAAAAAAAACACGATCCTAATTCTTATTATTTTTCTAAATACGTATTGTCTGATAGGCAATTACAAAATATAGATCTGATGTAAATAGAAAAATAAAGTAAAAACTGTAAAAACAGGTAAAAACAACAACAAAAATTCTAACCAAAGATTTAACCGTCATACGACATGAGCATCACGTGATTGCACAATACTCAACGATAGGGTACGTACCTCTTTCATCTGATTGGACGGTTGGTTGCGTATTCTAATGTATCCTATATATCAGACCCCAGTTTATTAGCAAACCGCAGCTATAATCGGCCAAGAGCACATTTCAATTCTAAAAAAAAAGAAAATAATATAATAGGATCGCTGATATGTATGGAAACGGTCGATTATTGAGTAAAATATACGAGGTACTACACAAAAAGTAAACATAAAAGTTACACGGTTTTTAAATGGCTATTGGCCAGTAATAAATTTAAGTGCACAAGGTCGGTCATAAAGTCGTGGCACATTAAAATTTCATTTTATTAAATGGAACCCCCTGTATATTGTTGCATATTTCAATTTTTCCTTCAATTCTAAGCAAAAACAGTGAAACACAATGTACATCAAACCAACCGTTTCCGAATTATTGACTTTTTTAAATTTCGATGTGTTGGGTTTTATTTGACGATGCTATTGTGCGGAAACTGTGATACTGTGATAATTTGATATAGTCTGTAAAACGAATAACTTTGAATTTGACAGTTCCCGCGGGCTTTTCTAGTGTTCATTTTATTAGGTTAGCAACTTGCGGCCATGCTGACTCAATGCCGTCTCTAATAGAACAGCCTCGGAGCGAGATTTATGACGTCACGCTAGTTAGATACTACGGACTAATAAAAATGTTGTAGAATACATGGAAAACATATATATTCCTCGTATTTTTGGTTTGTATTTTAAAAATGATATAGTTTACATGAAATATACATAATATACAGCTAATAAATACAATATACCTATTTATAGTAATAAATACTTTGACAGATAAACTATGAACCATACAAATGCAGCACATATTTTACAATATGGCTGAAATCGTACTCCATAGTCAATGTAGATAGTTTTTGTGTTAAGAATAATAATTTAAAAAAACATGTGGTCATCTTTTGACAAGTTTATATTAGTTTATTAATTGCAGTAAACATTATAATATATAAATAAATTTTGTGAATGCAAATAATAATACATCACTATTAGTAGATATTGAATGTTTTTTTGTTAAATCAGATCGATTTTCAAACCCCATTATTAAAATATACCCCATTATTAAAACCCCCCATTAAATTATATTTTACATTTTACCCATTATCTTATGTACCACCTATTCATTATTTGTATATTGTAAAACATTTGCTGCATTTGTATGGTTCATAGTTTATTTGCCAACGTATTTATTACTATAAATAGGTATATATTATATTGTATTTATTAACTGTATACTATATATATTTCATGTAAACTATATCATTTTTAAAATACAAACCAAAAATACGAGGAATAATTATGTTTTCCATAGCGTGACGTCAAAAATCTCGCTCCGTGGCTCTTCTATTAGAGACTAGTCTAATATTTAGAAATGTCAAAAGCTGATGACATTTTACTGTCGTCAATTATGACATTTCTTGTTGATTTTTGCAAGAAGAGGAAGAACTGTCACTTGTTTTATTATTTTCCTTTTCTATTTCACGAAAGTAAAAAGAGTTACCTATCTGATTCGTTCAGGCACTCAATTTAAAGAATATCAGTATCTTTTTTGACAGAGGGATTTTATATTTGCCATGTTGGTAAAAAATAACGGTCAAAATTCAAAGTTATTCATTTTATAGACTATATTAGTTTTTAAGTTAACATTTATAGATGTATAAAATGAGATTATATCAAGTCTGGAAATTACAAAATTTTCGTTTAACATGTCAAAACCTAAACTCGATATCTCGTAAACGGTTGAATTTAGATACAGTATGCGTTTTACAATGTTTGGTTATAATTGAAGAAAGAATTGAAATACCCAATAATATACAAGGGGTTTCATTTAAATAAATAAATCTTTGATGTGCCACGACTTCCTGACCGACCCTGTATAATTAAATTTATTACAAGACGTTAGCCATTTAAAACCCCTATAACTTTTGTATTTAACTTTTTGCGGGACCTCGTATACTTTGCCCAATAATCGACCGTTTCCATACGACCCTGTATAATGCTGCCAATCAGCGACCCTGTATAATGCTGAAGTTTTTTCTGTCTCAATTTTTCGACTATTTTCTATAAATACCGGGTGGGTCTCAAAAGTGGCGCACCCCTACAACTTTTTTTGGTGGAGATTTGGTAAATTAGTATATGACATTAATTATGATTGATTAACGTATTGTTTTCGGTCATTTCCTGTTTTACGGAAATGACTACAACTTTTGATTTCTGTGGATTTGTCAGTCTTTACGGAGCTTATTTTATGTTATTTATTATTTATTCTACTACCGATAGTTGTATAAAGGTAGTAAATCTAGATGGAAATTGTGGCAGCACTTAAATTAACAGTGACACTATCGCTATTTATCGAAAAAGACTCTAAAATAGTTGGTTGTATAGCGTGCGGTAGATCTTGGCAAAAATTGAGTGAAATAATGGAGCAACTTTTCGCTAGTAAGTGACTATATAATATACATACGTGTAGTAAACCGATCATTTATGAAATTCACGTAAATTAACTAAATTATATATTTTTCTTGCATTTTAGCTTTTATTTATTACTTGTCAAAGATTAGATGTCAAAGAATTTAGATACGTTAATTTGACTTACCTGCTTCAGTAGCGTATCGAATGTTTGTGGTTATAAATAATTATTATAACTTATTTATTTTTATTTGAATTTTATATTTTTATAACAATTTTAATAACTACCAACATTTATTCACAACGTAAAATAAAATTAGAACGACACTGATAAACCGGAATTTAAGTCGGCCATATTTGAGGCCCATCGCGGTGTACCTAAGATTTTTGATATGCTCCTTCCTTAGTCTTCTTATTCAAAGCTTTATTCGATAGAAAATGACACTCTGGATAAGATATGTCAAATTTTGACATTTACGCATATGATTTATTTGTAATTGTAACATGCAGTTCGTAACGACAATTTGACTCGAAATACCAAGTGTGTGGTACCAAATTATTCATAAAAAGTGCTTTTCCAAATATGGTAATGGAACATATTTTTTAGAATTTTTTTAGAGTTCTAGAGACATCCTTGTTTCCTATGAAAAAATTGAGATATGATCAAAAATACAATTAGGGTATCTTTTAACAGACCAGGACAAGACACGAAAAACATTAGACGATCAAATCTATTTTTCCAAGGCTCTTTGATTAAGAATTACTGTTTTTAACACAGCAATGGCACTCTGAATTGAAATTTAAAATTCGTTTTTTTTAAGTCGCAACGTCAAAAGTTGACATATGATATGTCATTCTATTCAGAGTGTTATTTTCTATTGAATAAAGTAAAAATATACCGAGGGTTCCATTTAAAAATCAAAAGTTGTGGCCATTTTCGGTGAAACAGAAAGTGATCAAAAACATTTGAATACGTCAATCGATACTAATTTATGTAATATACCAACAAACCAAATCTTGATTTTTATCTGAAAAAATAAAAAAGTTATAGGGGGTGAGCCACATTTGAGGCGCACCCGGCCATATGAGCATGAAATTTGTCAATTTTGGTCAGGTCACCGATTTTGATGAAAATACTGTTATTTGCTAATAAAAAAAAAGCGAAGAACACGAAAATATAGGCCAATTTAGCCTTATGAGTGACACAGGCCTGTACCAAAAAATATTACGTGCTTATCATAGACACATGAGTTATGATAAGAAAAAACAGGATAGTTTTTAAATTTAATTCCCAACTAGTTCATTCTTTAATTATGATATTTCAAAATGATAATTTAGTTATAAAATGATTAATAAGCAGTTTTAATTTAAATTAATTTACTACAGTTTTTCTCTACTTAATATAAATCTATTAAATTTATGTCTAAAAGTGCCACAAAAAAATCATTAAAAAACTTGAGTTCGAAAAATCATTTTTTTACTAAACTAAAACAGTTAAGCTATTAAATCAATATATGTATATTCTAAATTTACATATAATTTCCT